AGGATTTTCTGTCGGCTGCATTTAAATCCGCGTCTGAAGTTTCCCGCTCTGTTCAGCGTGCAGTATCACGTGTCTAAACAAATAGCACGTGCTGTCAGTGATTTCAACCACTAGAGGCCGCTCTCGTACTGTATAATGACAGCAGACCCTTCTCAGCCGTTCAATCAACGGACGCAACCCGGAAAACTATCGGCATGGATTTTTGCCGATACCGATAGTTCCAGCAAAAAACTATCGGTGCCGATTAATCGGCAAAACCGATACATCGGTCGACCTCTACTACCTACCCTCCACATACACGCATAACCTGACTCTACACAGCTGGAATATAGGCTTAGTGCATTAGTAATTTGCTTTATACTAAAGAAATAAGTCACGAGAAGCTGTGCATTACAGTCGTTTTACCGGTAGCGGGTGTTTTTTAGGCACAAAGTCTCAGTATGTTTAAGGCAGCAAAATCAATAAAAAGACAATGTTCAAAAAGTTACTATTATCATTATTGTTGTTGTTAAAAATATAATATGTTCATCAAGTAATATAACTCAGTCTAATTCTAAGCTGTTTACGGTTTCAAAAAAGTTCCTACCTGTGCAGTCAAAGATGTGCGATTATACTATCACACATCAACAATTAAAAAAATATGAATATGTAGCAGCTTGCATTTAACATATTCAAGGACAAACACAGACCTTGCCTCGGCACAAGTGAGGGAAGTACACAAACCACAATCTTTTGTAAATGCCTCTCAAATGCAATTATAAAAATGAGCCCATGCTTTGTTCATGTAATCCATGTTTGGATTAAGTTTGGAATCCATATGGTGCGACCACTGGCTGGTGTCAAATCAAGGCAATGAAAAACGTGTGAGAGAGAGGAGGAAGGGAGGAAAGAGGCAGAGGGATGTGACTTTTTGGAGATGTGTTGTGCTTTGACTATCTTTAGCCCCCAGTGAGACTCTGAGGCTTTTACTCATTACCCCTCCTTTTCTCTTCACTTTGATTTCCTTCACCAGTCTTCCCCTGTACGCAGCGTGTCACACAAGGGCCGGGCCTGCCCCCTGTGGGGAGAGGTCAGTCTGAAATGTCGGTGGATGACGTATTACCACATGGACTAAGATGAACAGATTTGAAAAACTAATGAGGATAGCTAACATTTCTGTCAGTTGTCACTGGCCCTGCCAATGCAAGCATGAGACATAAAACCCCCAGTGATTCGGCATGAAAAACATCTATCTGGAAAACAAAACACCACAAGAGACTTCTTATTTATCGGTCATGAATACGGTCGCTGCAAACAGACACGACAATGCAGATTTCTTGTGAAGTCCATCAATAAGACACTGGAAATCCAGCTGTTTCGCATTTCCCCACCGAGGCAACACTTAACCTTGGGCTCAGAGGAGTTTCACTCTTTGGCTGAGCTTAAAATGTGATTCACAGTTGTGACTGCCCATACAAATGCAGTGATTCCCTGGCTGCAACATTGTAAACCCAGCAGCCTTACTGCATTTGTACCGCACTATAAAGTATAACTTTGACTCCTGTCTGACACTTCACAAAAAAATATGAAGCATAAAAGATAAAAGGGCTGTGACACGCTGACTTGAATCAAGCAGTCATGACAGAGAGACTTCAGTTGCATTCACACATAAATAGTGATGGTGCTGACTATCGATTAAAATTTATTCCGTTTTTACATAAGCTTGAATGTTGGAATCAGAATGGAAAGTTTCTACCCTCCAAGTGTGTACTAACTACTTGCGGAAGTGACAGCTTCTATTTTTTCTGTTTTGTGGGTAGCATAAGGCACTTTTAATTAGTGATTTGTAAATCACAAATCACTAATTAAAAGTATATAATTTTATATATTATACTCATGTAGTATCTAGTATAATTAGCATGTTTCAGGCTCATGTTGAAGGGCGTGGCTCTTCAATAGGGGAACTGACAGACATCCTACAAATATCTAATAAACAAATAAGGCAAAATATTTAAAAACTTCAATTGCACAGAATTATTACAGTTCTCACAAAATACAGATTATGCATAAGAATGGGAACATTGCTCACAGCAATGGATTTGAAGTCTGACAGTAATTGTCTTGAAATCTGTTGAAGGCGGCGAATTTGTTACAAAAGCGATGCTTTGATGGGGAAGAATTTAGAGATGCAACTTCTCTGCAGCACGTTCAAGCATGCTGTCAGCATACCAAAACCCTCTCGGAGAAGAAAAGTCTCTTAAACCACCCCATTTCAAGCACAGCATCCTAAAATATGAAAGTTAAAAAAAATATATATTAGATGCACTCAGTGGTCCACCACCATAATCAGTTAGGCTGTCTATCCTGACTCATCTCTTCATTTAATTTAGTATGGCAAAACAACTCATATTTTGTTTAATGTTAGTCACAAATACTACAAAAGCAAGTAGATAGTGCACAAAATCAATTTTGGATCAGGACTGGTCTGTGCATTTCAACAGACTTCTACAACAAAACCCCTAAAGGGTAGTGCTGGGCGGTATGACCAAAAATTTATATCACTGTATTTTTCAAAATTATACCGGTTTCACGGTACACGACGGTATTATGCATGACCGGGTGTTAACCATATTTTCTACTGATTGAGAGAGGAAATACTGCAGTATATTGACTTAGAATGCCCTATTTTACTGTCATGATGAGTGAATATTGTCAAAAAATACCACACTAAATAGTGACTAAACACGACCCCTTTTAATACATGTTAACCAGGAGTCACTCTCATTTATAATCGTGGCATCGTCTGATAAAATCAACATGCATCTACACTAAAGAGCGGCTATGCGGTTGTTTTGGCTATATTACTTTTTTATCTCATGCAGTGCACTGCCTGCGTCTGAGTAACAATCTTAAAAAAAACAACAAACAAAAAAGTGCATGTGATATTAACAGACGAACTACGCTCATATTTATAATTCCAAACAATCAGTAAGCGACAGGTGCTAGGAAACGCTGTTTTGTACTCATTTATTGACGAGTCGGCTGCAGTTCGGCCAACTGAATGCGCTGCTTCTTTGCCGCTCACTGCACAGAACAGACGCTGAGAGAGGTGACACTTCTCCGGGAAAGTCAGACCTCGCGTTCGCGGGACAGCACTGGCGAAATCTTCCAACTGAACCATAGCTAAGGTTTATCCAAAAAAGTAGCTAGGTTTGTCAGCATGAATATTCTATAGCGGAATAGCAGGAAAAAGCCGCTAAAAGGGTCTGAAAGTTGCTAAATCTAGTGCTAAAGTCGCGCTCGTGTGTGTGAGACGCGGGAGCTGATGGCAGGGGGCGGTGGATATTTGTGGCGGTCAATGTGGATATTGTGGATGAGTTCTTCTGTGTCATCACGTTCTATTAGTTCTACAGCTTCAGTTTCGGAACTTTCACACTTAGTAACACATACAGCTGTGCCCTCACCACAGTGCAATAGTGAAAAGGGACCCCTTTTCAAACAGTGTCGCGTTCCGAACGTTGTTTAAGCGACTTACTGCGTATTGCGGTATTTTAAAAATTCATATCATAACAAAAATAAACACCGGTATTCAGTATGAACCGGTATACCGCCGAGCACTACTAAAGGGCTTATCTGAATTAAATATATATATAAAAAAAAAACACTACAAAAAATGTCAACAAATGTCTTAAAAGACAACAAACCTACAATCACCAGTTTGCTTCAAGTCATGTGTGCTCTCTTCGAGATGCCATGTTAAACAAAAGAATAGCTAGTCTGGAGGAGTACAAATAATGTTCCATCATTTGTTTTTAAACAATTCCAGAATTTAAAATCTGCAACAGACGAGGGACAGTAATTGGCACTTTATGGAGCAGAAAACAGGTGCCTACCTCAATCAGTTTGTTGGCGTGCTCACGGAAAACTTGGGCATATTCCTTCACCTCCTTTTCATTACCATTCTTGGCAGCCTCGATCAATACCAGCAGTGGAACATTGGTCTCCAGAAAAGAGTCTGACACGTGGTCCATCACAGCCTTCCGCAGCTGAAATTATGAATACGCAAACAAACAAACCCTTAGCTAGTGTATGATCACTCAGAGCACCTGGGTTTGGTGTATTCATTTTTAATACGTAATGTAAACATAACATGCATTTAAAGAGGGACAGTCATGATTTATTATTAAGGAGAAGGACGTAAAGTATTCTTGTTGACATCTATAATCAAAATAAATGCGATTCTGTGCACTGCTTCAAGGTGAACGGACCTGTCTGCGCAGGTCACGGGTCTTCTTAGTCATCCTGTCGATGGCAGTGTTCAGGGCATCGCTCTTCTCTTTATGTCCAGCCTGTGATAAAAACAAACAGAGGAAAATATACTTAGGCTCATTTAAACTTGTTATAGTCAGGCTCGCAGGGAAAAAGAAAAACGACAGGTGGGAGTTAAAGCTGAGGACTGAAAGGACAAGACAAACTTGTAAGATATGATGGATAAGATGCATTTTCTACAGAGGAAGAAAAAAGTTAAACAGCATGAGTCACTTAGATGGTTACAACCCCCTGTGGCAAACATTTTATTTCATTCTTAAACTTTGTAGGGGTTTAGGTTCTTTTAACCCCTTTGGCGATTATTGTTTCGTATGACTAACGTGACTTGTGGTACTGTCAGGAGGCACCCGCCCACATTCTTTCACCGATACATTTTTCAGCTCAAAAATACAGAGTTTTTGTCTGTCACATTCTTGAGCTGGGCTTAAGCAGTCCGTGAAATAATTCATGGCACAAATAGCTCTCCTGTTGTGAAAGTACAAACAAACAAAAAAAAGGATGTAGGGCATAGGCACACTTTAAGATTAGTTAAAATGCGACAAATTCTTTTGAACTGGTGTCTGATTCTTCCATTCCCAACCTTCAAGGATTAAAATGTAAGTAAGGCACTTACATCTAAAAAACAAACCATTATGTGATGGGTCAGACAGCTTTTAACAATACACAAAGTTCAGAGGAAGGTAGGCAGGAGGAGTTAAGCCTGGTCAAGCAGAGTTCACATGTTAGCCAACACAATGATTGCAATTTATGTCGGAGATAAATCTGAGCAATTTCCACACTTTACAAGGCGTCCACTTGTCCAGCGCTTCAAGCCAGGTTGGCTAGCGTTGGGAGAGTGGATCTCACTCACATGCCCCAGACAAATTGCTCATGTGCAGTGGGTAGGTAAATCTCCAGCACAGGGAAAAGCCTGGGGGAAGGCCGTCACAGGGGCACAAGCAGCACAAGCGTGACAGTCATTGAAATATGGCAGTGGCACTGGCAGTTCGGCCCCCCTACATCCTCACCCCATTGTGTGGTACATGGTAGGAGGCAAGTGAACGCCATCGGCCTTAATACCCTACTGATTTTGTGCCAGTTGCATGAAAGCACTTCAGAGCAATGTAGACTCTCCAGTGTAATGGTGAAGGACTGTCAATTCTAAATCACTAACCTTCAGATCAGTTGCTCATTGAGTTGAACAAAAATTACCTAGATAAGCGCAAATGGTACATTCATCCACAGCGCAACTAAGAAAACTCGACGGATATTACCTATATGATCGCATATTCCCCCGGAGGGCGAAATGACTTGGATCACTCAATATTGATTTTGCCTCGAGCAGCTCCACTTAATTGGCCAGTCACTTGACTCCTCACACTAGTTTACATGGTGTTTTCACACATATAATTAATGATGGTCAGGTAGAGCTGTGCTTTCAGCATGAACAAATCTCCCCACAGTTTGGTGGAAGGAAAAAAAGATTTTAAAACTCCTCAGCAGAGACATCCCTTGAGGGCAGATTACACACCAGTGAGAAAAGTATCTGTAAAAAAGTAATATGACCTATGGAGAAAAACGACAAACAAATAAATCATACGCACACAAAATGGCCCAGGTCATTTTAGAAAGTGACCACCCCAAAAAAAAGAAACACAGATGTTCAAATTAAGCACAGTGGGTACAATGGCACGAAAGCAATTTTAGCACAACCCACAGTCACCGTGTGCACAGGAGAAACAATATAAATAAATAAATAAATAAATAGGGATTTGCCAAGCTACACACTTGGAAAATTAACTAGACAGTGGCTTATCTGAATAAAGAAAGATTTGTATAAATGGGCTGGTTTAGAGTCACGTTTACATTTAGATACCTACCGTCGCATTCAAAAACAGAAGACCGAAATCTGACATTGTAAAAAAGTTCAACATTTTAACTTGACAAGGTCCTAAATACAACTCATTCCATGAGATTCTGGGGAAAAAAAAGTCACGTAATGCAAAGAGTCCAACTACAACAGACCAACAATTACACATAACAGGAATAATTTTTCACAGCAGGCGATTTGACATCTAGCAATAACTGTCTTGAAATTTAATGAAAGCAGAATGTGTTACAAAAGCAGCACATTGATGGCGGTAGCAGCATCGTTTTAAAGGGGAATTCAGAAAATGTCTTGATTTTTTAAGTCTGTGAGCAAACAAAAAAGTTGACTAAATAAATTTTTTTTATAAATAATATGAGATATATAAAAACATATACAAATACATACTATTAAAATATTAAATACAAACTAATAAAATATTAAATAGAATGACATTAAAAAAAAGTTATTTTGGAATCAAAATGGTGGTTTTCAATCAAAAATGGTTTCTGATCTGCTAATACCAGTGTTTCCCCTGCCATTATTTTAGGGGGGCGGCCCGCCCCCCAAGGTCAAGTTAATTTTATTTCATTATATTTTCTCTATAGCGCCAGATCACAACAGAAGTAATTTAAAGTTACCTTTCCTATAGAACAGGTATATACCTTGTTCTTTTATTAAGCAAACTAAATAGCCTTATGTTATTTATCTTATTTACACGACGGCATGTCATTTCGGTCTCTACGTTATGGTCGCGCTCTCTGTATCGCACACAGCGGAGTTCCACCCGATGCGCGTGTGCGTAAGGTTGGAAAAATAAAACATTTCATAGGGCCCTAAACATGTAATACTTGTTAACCCCCCCCCCCAAAGCCGTAAACCTAGGGGAAACACTGAATACATACTCCTTCTCATCCATTTTTAGCCAGTAAGCATGATAGGCTGTCATCCAACACGTCAGGCTTGATTTCATTAAAAAGGGAACGTTTTCATTTCCATTACATTACATTCAGCAAACCCACATGAAGAAAAATTAGCCAAAGACAGAGGAGCAGAGAAAAATGCAGACAACAGCTACATTGTGCACGTCTTATGTTTAGTGAAATCTCCTGTGGGGCTATGCAGTGTGAATGCTCTATTAAGTCCAGCATTCAGACTCTGTCCCCACCACCGCAGATCGACAGGAGTATAAAAGGTCTCTGTGACGTTGGTTTGCTTGTGACGCGTTTCGTGTTGAAAACCTGAACGAGCGAAAGGGAGAGGGAGCAGAAGGAACAATCTGATTGCAAGTCATCGTATATCAAATGAAGTATCAGCTTCCTGTGCCAACTGAATTATATTGTAAACTCATTCATCAACACAATCAAGGTAAAAACACAAACAAAATAATTCTAAATCACATAATATGTATTTTAATTTACTACTACAAAGTAGTAAATCACCCAGCTTCATCACAAACATATACATACATACATACATACTAGGGGTGGAACGGTTCAACTTACTCACAGTTCAGTTTGTATCACAGTTTTAGAGTCACGGTTTCGGTATGTGCTATGTTTAGGGAAAAACTATACTGTCAAATAAAAATAAAGAAACTACAAAGCAACAGCACAAATAAATTCAATAGAGTAAAGATACAAATAAAATAAACAGTGATTTTCAGTTTTTTTTTTAGGTAGGTCTTACATTAGTTTTTAGTTAATTAAAGATTAATCTTTATTAAAGTTACAAAATCTATTCAATCAAGACCAGTGAGTGATTTCCTTGTTGTTGCTGTATGATTAATATTAAGAAAGTGCTGTCACTTTAAGAGAATCCACTGATCCAGTGCACTAATACAGTACGTTCAGCCGGCTATGTCTGCTAGGATACTCACCAAGGCGGGCATTTTGACAATTTTTGTGTGAATTTATCCATTCAAACACAATACTTCAGTACACAATACTTCAGTGATTATTACGTTTTGAATATGGATATTTTTCTTACAAAAACGCATCGATTCGCTACAGGAGGCCTTTGTTCACCCCCCGGAGCCGTGTGAGACACTTTTTTTTGTGGAAGGGTGCTTTTTATTTCACGTCATTTGAACCGAAGGAATGCAACACCCGCTGAGTACAACGATAGAGCTTGAAAGATCAAAGACAATTTTTAATATAACTCCGACTGGATTCGTCTGAAAGAAGAAAGTCATATACACCTAGGATGACTTGAGGGCGAGTAATTTATGGGCTAATTTTCATTTTTGGGTGAACTAACCCTTTAATATTTGCGAGCGCTCTGAGGCGCGGGTTCACGCGCTTCGGATGAGCGCACGCACAAATCTTCTCACTGCGTGCAAGCTTGAGTCTTAAATGTTTAAACTGGCAAGGCTTAAATGAGTTTAGTTTAAACACAAATGTCAACGTGTGCTGTTCAGGTCTTGCCTGTGCACGCGTGCTATCAGCACGATTCCAAAATAAATGACTGCTCACATTCCAGCATACGGCACTCGCATTGAACAAGAGTGAATGGTTTGTCCACGCTTGTTTTATTTCCCCATCGCTGTTGTTGTAATGTACTGGGAAGCCAGAATGCGCATCCATCAACAGAAACATACATTAGCCGAACCCTGTTTGTTTTACATGTTTTTATTTATAACAAACAATATTACAGATGCGTTGTCAGATTTCAGTTGAACCGCGGTAGTGCATGCCGAACTGTGTGTGGAGAACCGTACGGTTCGATTTTTTACCGAGAACCGTTCCATCCCTAATACATATCTATATATATACACATACATACACATATACACATACATATATATATATACATACATATATATATACACACATATATACAGTGGGGCAAATAAGTATTTGATACACTGCCGATTTTTCAAGTTTTCCTACTTACAAAGAATGGAGAGATCTGTAATTTTCATCGTAGGTACACCTCAACTGTGAGAGATGATCGACGCCAGCCTGCCACCACTCTGTAGCAGTGAGTGGCTGCAACAAAAGCACAGAATAACATTTCAGCTCCTCTCCTCTGCCTTTCCCCTCACTGCATCTCCCCTTCCTCGGTACAGAGAACTCCACACAACACAGCAGAGCCACATGGATCTGGCGTCGCAAGTGCAGCCTCAGCCTGCCATCAACAAGTTAGGGATGAAGGAGCTTGAGCAATGAAAGA